GACCACGGTTAATATACTAAATATTCAGAGAGAGGGGGTTATATTCAAAATAAGGGTTCGTAGAGACAACAGGATCGCTGGTTAATAATACTCTCTCAGCTAGAATAATGAATTGATCCAAGTGACCACAATGAAAGCAGTTCCCAATAACAGAAAAGTAACAATCAAGGTTTTGAGAGATTATCTCTAGTAAAGTGAGATGGAGCGTTAAATTTTCTTTGATATTTCGACATTTCCATGGAACACATAGATTATCGTGGTAACATTTGTTTTATCATAGCTCTTCACGTTCTATCGAATGTTGCTTGTATCACTTTGGCTTGATTTTAGTGAAAAATCCCATTATATTCAACCTCAATTGAACTTCGAGAACGAAAGAAATGTTACCATATGTTTGTTTTATCTGTCATATATGCAAAACACTAATTTTTCAATCAAATTCTACTTTTCTTCCTAATAGAAAATTCTTTACTAATTGGATGAAACTTTGGCAATTTTGCAGATTTAGACCACATGCTTTAACCAGATGAAAGCGAACATCAAAGAAAATTTAACTTTTCATCTCACTTTACTTACTTGAGAAAATCTCTCAAAACCTTGATTTTCCAGCGAAAACTCAATTATTAAATTTATTTAAATTAATATTTAATTCAATTTAAAAAATGCCTCGAAGACCTGTAAGCTCAAAATCCAGCTTTTCCAGAATCCCATTATGAAAGTCAAAATTAAAAAAGTTGATATCACCATTAGATCTGGCATGGTGGATAACCTCTAGATCCTAACTTTTAAGTTGATATGTTCAGTTTTGTATGTGCTGGAGGGTTTTTTCTCTTATTGAAACTGTTCTCATCAGCTATCTGTAAATAAAAAGGAATGAATTACTATAACTATATGAGATAGAAGCAGCATTCTTATCCACAGTAAATATTTCACATCGACACAACACAGAAGGATAAAAAACAGTTTAATGTGATGCTCAAAAATGTATGAGCTTAGCACGAATTGCTTACCTAATCGAAGTCCATTTTGCAGTCGACTTTTTAATACTTTCCGGCAAACAGAAGGGAGCTTTGAATATCAGATTTGTTAATAACTCTAGATGATTACTTCTGTCGTTGATGTTCAATATTCTGTCCAAAATATATTTCAAATTACATTTGGTAAGATAAGATACCGGAAAAATGAATAAATTTCTTAAATACTTTAAATTTAATATTTTTGGTATTAAATCTAATAATTCTGTTGATGTTATCTCATACAAAGATAATGCCGATAGATTCACGAATTGTTTACCAATATCATATAGTTCAATAAATAATGATATTTGATTCATCGACATTGTATTCGATAATATCAATGATGTTAGATGAAAACTACAGCATGAATTTTCAATTATTTGAGAAGAACAGTAATTATCAAACTGTGTTTTTGGTAACTTTTCTAAATTCGCATACATTTTAACATGAGAATTACGTATTAAACTGTTATAACGACTGTTAAGATCGTTGAATATTGTATAAATTTCATAACACGTCAAATATTCGAGTAAATCGTAAAAT